GAACTTTACAAAGGAAGAAAGCCTAACCTTTCCTATTTTCATGTCTTTGGATGTAAAGTTTTTATTCATAATAATGGAAAAGATAACTTGGGAAAATTTGATGCTAAGTCGGATGAAGGAATTTTCTTAGGTTATTCTCTTCGTAGTAAGGCATATAGAGTGTTCAACAAGCGTACTAAGACCGTAGAGGAGTCTATTCATGTTGTCTTTGATGAATTTGATGCTCGCTTGGCGAGAAAAGATATTGTTGATAATGTTGCAGGTTCTTATGACGATAAAGAATAAATCGTTAAGGAAAAGGAACCGGAAGAAGAGAAAACACATGAGCAAACGGAGCTTCCTAAAGAGTGGAGAACCTTGAAGAATCACCCGATTGACAATGTCATTGGTGACATAACGCAGGGAGTTTCTACTCGTAATTCTCTTATGAACACAATTAATCACATGGCCTTTGTTTCACAAATTGAACCAACAACCGTTTTGGATGCTATTAATGATGAACATTGGTCTATGCCAATGCAAGAGGAGTTTAACCAATTTAAACACAATGATGTTTGGGAATTGGTGCCTAGACCTAATAATCATTCCGTTATGTGCACAAAATGGGTGTTTCGTAACAAACTCGATGAAAATGGAGTAATCACTAGAAACAAAGCTAGGCTTGTAGCTAAAGGCTACAATTAAGAAGAAGGCATTGATTATGAAGAAACTTATGCACCGGTTGCACGTTTAGAAGCTATTCGTTTATTACTTGCATTTGCATCTACGATGGATTTTAAACTTTATCCAATGGATGTTAAAAGTGCCTTCCTTAATGGTATGTCGAACAACCCTCGGGTTTCGAAGACTATGAGTTTCCAGAACATGTCTTCAAACTCAAAAAGGCGGTTTACGGTCTCAAACAAGAGTTCAAGTTTACGTAGATGATATCATATTCGGTTCTACTAACGAGATTTTGTGCAGAGATTTTTCCGATATGATGCAAAGTGAATTTGAAATGTCGATGATAGGAGAATTAAAGTTCTTCCTTGGGCTTCAAATTAGACAATGCAAAGAAGGGACATTTGTGTGTCAAACGAAATATTGCAGGGAATTGCTTAAGAGATTCGATGTTACCGAATCCAAATCCATTGACACACCGATGAGCACCTCTTGCTATCTCGACAAGGACGAAAAAGGTAAAGAGGTAGACATAAGGAATTTGAGCGTCGGAGGCGCGATAAAATCTTTTTTGCAGGGCTTTTATTTCAGGTATCTCTTCCTTGGTATCAAACCCGAATTGGACTTGATGATTCTTTTTCTGTCAAACAGTTTTAATCGATTACTCCTCGAAGAGAAATCGATTAGACGCGTCTGTCCATCTTAATCGATTAATAGTGTCTTTGTTTAATCGATTAATAGCCTTCAGCGCAAACTCCTTTGATTCTGCTTCACTTCTAATCGATTAATCATTCTAAAGAAATCAATTAGACCCGGCTGTGCTTACTAATCGATTAAATCACTCTGATTAATCGATTAATATTCGATTTTTTTACAAAATCGGCCTGTCTTCGTCTTCTTCGCCAAAAGCTTTTCTAGAACCACCGTGCGAAACCCTAGCCTCCTTCAATCTCCTCTCCGATTTCCTCAACAATTTTATCACCAATCTGTTCAATTTTTTTTACCAAAATTCATCAATTTCAAAGAGGGAAGATGCCAAGGACCAAGAACGTTACCCCACGTCAAGAAACAGCGGCGGAAGAAGGGGAGCTTCCATGGCGTCGTGAAGGAAGCAAATACATCCACATTCAAACGGGGCTTGCCTTCAACACGGGAGCATCAGTCGAGAGGTTCCACAACACCTTTCTCACAAAGGAGATCATCTCACCAAAGATTGTGGATAAGGACCTCTTCAAATCGGCGACCTATGCCCCGAGTCTCTTTTCGCTCAAGAAGGTTTGCTCCGTTTCATTCACTTGACCTATGAATTCTTTTGTCCAAATCTTATACGTCAATTTTATGCTAATCTTCGTACCACTAAGGGAGACTCGCCATCTCTCGTCTCCTATGTTGACGGCAAAAACATTCTTATTGACGGTGCCGGTTTGGCCTCTCTTTTTGGCCTTCGCCGAGGTGAAATTACCGAAAACTTGGATGAAACATTCCAAGATGAGGCAATTTGGCGACAACTCGGGTTAGATCATCGTGACCTCAAGTTTAGAAATTCTAGCAACCCGAGTGTCATTAACCTCACTTTGATTCAACGCGTTCAACAATACATCTTCTCCTATGTTTTGTTGCCCCGTGATTCAAACCATGACGTTGTCAACAAGGATGATATCCGTTTGTTTCACGTCCTGTTGAACAATGTCAAATTTGATTGGGTTCACTTCTTTATCGTTGCACTTAGTGATGGTACTCGTTTTTCCCATCTCTGTTTTGCCATCCCTGTCATGCATATCCTTGCTCATTGCAAAGTGGACCTTACTCAGGACACTCAGGTGCTGGTGAAGAAGACTTGCTTCATCACGGAAGCCAAGTTCACCTGGATTCTCTACCGCGAGGAAAACGAGCAAAATCTGGAACTGGTCATTCCAGACGAAGAGGAGAGAGAGAGAGAACGAAGCTGAGTCGTCTCAGGCTAGAGAGAGTCGGACCACGGAGCGTGTCACTCGTCAACGCAGGACTCGTCCGAGAGAAGAAGCACCAGAATCTTCTTGGGTGAAGAGGATCTTTGATATTCTCACCTGCATTCGGGATGATGGGATGATGTTCGCCAGCTCAACGAGAGGATGACTCGTATCGAGCAATCCCGCTCCTACCGTGGCCCGCGTCACAGCTTTAGTGGAGGGGCTCGCCCGGCAAACTCTCTTTGATTTTGTTGATGGTGTTTTTATTATGACTTATTATACATTGTTAAATGCTATCGCTATTGTTTTATAACTCTTTTGGTAGATGATGATTATGTTTTGGTTAATGCTAATTATTGTTGTTAATTGATGATGTTAATTGAGTATTGATATTTGTTTATTGGCTTGGCAATATGGTTCTCTGTTAGAACATATTGTCCCTTTGTGAAATTTTTGTTAGTAGTTTTTCTTTAAAGAAAACTCTTGCAAATTTTTTTACTATCCTTCAATATCCCGGCATTGATTAAGGTGGAAGGATTTCAATTGATAATGCAAAAAGAGGGAAGGAAGGATAAGTTGAGAAAACTTGTTTTTCTAAATCGTTTTTCCGCTTTTTACTCCGATATATGTTTTACTGCACTTCTCTAACCATGCAGGGGGAATTACTTTATGGGAAGTATTTCTTGAACTCTTTTTTTTTTCTCAACTATGTTTGTCATTGTTGGACATCAGTTCAAACCCCTTTACTATTTTTCTGAAATATCTTTGTTTTGATAAATGACAAACAGGATGATTAAATTCAAAGATGATCAAAAATTTATTTTTTGTATCGAGAAAAGCAAAGAGGTGTATCAAGATATTTGCGGCGATAAAAATCAAACGCTCACCCCTACGCAGATTTTTGAAGTGAAGTGAACACTCCAAAGACTTTTTATTTTTATTGAGTCTAGGAATTCTTGTAAGGATGACAATAAATTTTACATAAACAAATTATTTTTTGAGGGATAAAAATTATTATTTTCTGAGTCAATTGAAAAAGTATTTTTTCTCTGTCTAAAAATATTTTACTAAATCAGTTTCAAAATAGTGTGTCAAAATGTCTTAAAAATACTTTTTAAGGTTACACAAACTTTTGGTAGGAAGAAAAATATACTTTAAATATTTTTCGTGTACATCGTTTGACACACAAAATAATTTTTGGACTCACTTTTTTTTCTCCCCTATTCAAATTCATTGAATAGAGATTCGCTTGATAGAAGAGTGTTGCTCTTATTCTCGCTGTCTCAGACAAAAAGGATACCGCCAATTTTATTCCTCATCGCAACTTGGCTTGGGCCAGTTGTGTTGCGCATTATTTAAGCAGTAATCGATTAATCATCTTAAAATAATCGATTATTTATTCTTTGACTAGCGAAGGACTTCTTTCTTTTTGGAATTAATCGATTTTCCCTTCTCATTTAATCGATTAATTAACTTTTCGTTGGATTCCCTGTTTTGCCCACTAATCGATTCTTTTTCTTCACTTAATCGATTAGTTCGGACAGAGCCGATTAATCGATTTTTGGACCTCATTTAATCGATTAGTTCCATTCTTGATTTCAGGCATTTTCGCCTCTGTGTATCGTAATCGATTTAACTATATATATATACGTTAATCAATAAATTTTATCTGGTGCATATTCTCAGGTTACTCCAATGGTTCTATTTTTTCTCTCCTATTTAATCCCTCGTTCTCCTTCTTCTCAAAACACAACTCTTGCACTCCAATATATTCCTTAAGCTATATTCATCCCTTGCTTCATCTTCCTCATCAAAATATTATTTTTGAGAGTTAGAAATATTTTCATTGAGTGTTAAAGATATTGTTATCCATAGAGCTTTAATCCTTCAACACTACTTGCTCAATTGTGTGAGCTTTCATTCTTGTGTTGTAAACTCAATCTTGTTTGAGTGTTGTTCTTAAGACTTGTGTGACTCAAGTCTTGGTGTTGTAAGAAAGTGAGCCTTGTGTGATTCAAGTTCTCAAGTTGTACCGGTTTTTCAAGCACCCGTTGAAGCTTGAAGATTAGTAGGACTTTCGAGAGAGTCTCTCGGAGGACTGGACTAGCCACGAGCTGGTGAACCAGTATAAATCTCGGTGTTCTTCTTTCCCTTACTCTTTTTATTTATTCCTGCGATTTTTATTTCACACACGCGAAAAACGCACATTCTTGAAAACAACTCTATTCACCCCTCCCCCCCCCTCTAGAGTTGCACTTTTGTCTAACATGATGTAATTTTTATATTTATTTGTAATACTTTTTCCGACATCATATTTTTGGGTGTTTGACTTTGACAAAGTCAAAATTGATTTAACTAGCCTTTATTCAAAAGATTCTTTCATTTAATTCATATTATTTATTCTCATGATTATCATTTCAAAGTTCAGATCATAAACATTGTTCATTTATTCTTAATTTGGGTATGTACTCAGGTTCCCATTCAAGGTAACACAATAGTCAACATATGGGATTTATCTCTATGAGATTTATCTAGTTTATGATATTGGATATCAGAACATATTTTATTTCGGCTCAAAGCCTGACAACAATTTATTTTAATTAAACAATTTGTTTATTTGAATAATAATTCAATATAACTTTTAGGGTATATTCTGGGGCGTTACATGAACCCTCGCAGGAGCATGCCAGGGTAAGCGAATGGCATATAGCCTCCCGCTTGCTGCATCATGGCCATCACTTGGTGGTAACCTTGCAGCTCCTATGCACTGGCTTCGAATTGAGCCAAACTTGGCGGGATCAACATAGGCGGCGTCACCCCCCGACATGGGTAGTGAGCCTAGAAACATCATGGATATAGTGTCCGACCATCGAAGTGGGAGTTGATATGATTGGAATCATTCCCATGGATCCAACAGGGATGACTGGAAAATAAGTTGCCCTACGCTTATCATTGTTACCGGAGTGGCAGGAGTGTTGAGTTCCGGCACGATCGGGCAGAAACGATGGGGTGAGTGCTAAAAGACATGATTGTGGATATTTCGCAGGGTTAGAAAAATTGACCTGTCAACTTTTTCGAAAGACGGGTTCCACGATCGGCGCCAAATGATGGTGTAAATTTGACTAGGTATGACCTAGTGAAACAGACTTTTCCGGGTAAGCCACACACACAAGAAAGTAAGAACACGAGAGTGACCAAGACCATGAAAGAATTCCTGTGCTCGAACTAATATTTATTGCTATGTCTCAAGAGTGTACAAGTTGTTAGTTGGTTTAGTCGTTGTGCCCATGCCTTAGAGGGGGGTGAATAAGGCGTTTAAAAACTTTTCGGAGTTTAATAAAAACGGTGTTGGCAAATTCGGAAGCAATAAATAAAACGCAAAAATAAAAGCGTAAATAAAATGCACACCGAATTTATACTGGTTCGGGAAACCCCTACTCCAGTACCTCGAGGCTCCTCCTCAAGGATTTCCGAATCCACTAAGTCTCGGCCTCTTGAACTCCATCAAAGCACCGCACTAGTTTTGGCAAACAACCCTTGCCAATAGGATTCACTCCGAGATTTCACAACGGCTATCTCGAACCATTTACAACGAAGATTTAACGGCTATCTTCTACCGTTCCCCCAAGGATTTCAAAGGCTATCCTTGAACCTTTACCCAAGGATTTATACGGCTATCCTCGACCGATACAATATGAGAATTTAACGGCTATTCTCGACCGTATAAAGAAGTGTTTGAAAAACACAAAAGAGGATTCTACACAACGGCTTAGAATATTAAAATGAAGAACAAAACTTAGCCAGTGTAGAAGGAAAGTATACTCTCTCAAAAATACAATTCAAACTTATGAATATGAGAGTATATAACTAGAAACACAAGCTCAAAGTGTGTGTATAAAAATCAGGAATTTAAGGCTCTTAAAATAGCCAAAATATTGAAAATGATTAATAAAAGGATGAACACACTTAGAATAAAAAGAGAGGATGTTTAGAGCTTTGTTTCTTGAAAAATATGAAGGATTGGGCTTGTATTTATAATGGAAGATGTTAATTAGCCATTGGGAGGTGATTAGGATTGATTAAATTCAAAATTACAAATTAGGAACAATAATTCAACGGTCACGGTAGGGGGGTCCCGTCCATACGGTAGGGGGGTCCCGTCCATACTGTAGGGGGGTCCCGTGCTTACGGTAGCTAGGTACCTTCTCAGGCCAAAACTCCCCCCTTACGGTAGGGGGGTCCCGTCCATACGGTAGGGGGTCCCGTGCGTACGGTACCTAGGTACCTTATGACCATTTTGACAATTTTTTTATTTTTGTCCAAATCATTTCCAATTTTGTTTAAAACCTTTTGGATGTTTGAAAATGATTATAAAAGGGTTTTAAACATGTTTTGTGAGTGTTTTTGAGCTTGTGAATATAGGTATATAAAATCATATCCTTACATTGGTTTATACCTATATTCTACGCTAGTTTAGTGTTTCGACTTCATTCTTGAGTACCGAATCTTAATGGATTCTTGTTTTTCCTGAAACACTTAAACAAACGTTAAGCTCTTATATTGTTTGTTAACATCAAAACATGAGGCTTAGCAAACCAAGGCTAACACAAGTATGTGTATGAATGATAGAATGTTCATCCTCATCCTCTTACAATATATTTATATAGGGCGGAGGAGGTTAATTAAGGTAATAAGCCCCAACTCAGGTGCTGGCCTAGCGCCAATCAACATATGTATAAGGAAAGAGGTCAAATAATCCTCTGACCCGCTGCTCATTGACTTACTCATAAATGGGTGCCAATTCAATCTCGCCACCAATCAACTTTTAATGAGGTAGGACAATAGGATTGCTCCGTACTCATCATCGCCTAGCTGTGCCCATCATCCCGACCCTCCATATCGTACCAGGCCCATCCGAGGAGTTATCTCCTGGATCAACTCTCGTTATGTCCATACAAAAATATGACTGGTCACTTATCGAGAAAGATTTGACCAATCATTTTTTCCGACTTTCCGTGCCCTCAAACACTACTCAAGTTATGACTGGTCACTTTCTCACCTATCACTTTTTGGAGATTCTGGCCAAGTATTAGTTATACCCATCATTCACCACAGGTAAATACTTTTTTCAGTCATTTTTTAAAGAAATTGGAAGGGGTTAAAAAAAATTGGAAATTAATTTTTCCAACCCAAATAAATAGGTCCTTAGGATCGCAATATCGCAACTTTGGTGTTTTGTCAATTGTTAAACTATTTTTCTTAGGAATGTTAGATCGAGCTTATTTATGTTATTTCAAATTTTTCTAATATTCAATTTTAAAATTCCAACTCAAAAAAAGAAGCAATCACTTAATGAGTAGAGGTACCGCTGTACCTGTACGGGTAATCTTTTTAGGAAAAATTATCCAAAATAATCCCAATTGAACCTGGTCTTTCAAAATTAATCTCACCTTTCAATATGGTGCATAATAATCTCAAATTTATTGAAATTTGCAAGTTTTGGATCGCCATTAAGTTTATAACGACAGGCTAATAGAAATGTCTATTTTGCGCAACAAAATTAAAGTCGGAATTATTTTTGATGAACTTATTTATTTATTTATTGAAATTTTCATTTAAATTTTTGAAATTACTTTCTACCTCCATTTCTTTTTCTTTTTTAAAAGATTATTCTTAACTTAGAAAAAATAAAAAAATACATATAAAAAATAATGAAAATGAGAAAAATAACTAAAATCATATAAAATTAATGAAATAAATAATTTAATCCATAGAAATTAAACTGAAACTGGTAAGAAATAAAATAAATATATACATAGTGGTGGGTTTTAACATTTTACACATTATAAAAATTCTTAATGTATTACTTATTTTTTAAAAGAACAAGCCGTCCTGTAAGTTAGAATTATTCTAGATAATTTTTTCTAAAAAATAAGAAGTGATGTGTTAGTACTTTCTATAGTGTGTAAGATATTAAAACACACCACTCCGTATTTTGTTTTTCTTACCAATTTAAACTTTAAGTTAGTTTCTATTGATTACCTTATTTATTTTATTATTTTTGTATCATTTTAGTTACTTTTCTCATTTTTTGGTATTTTTGTATCTATTATTTTTTTTAAAGTTAGACTAATCTTTAAAAAAGAAAAAAGAATGATGGAGGTAGAAAGTAATTTTAAAAATTTAAGTAAAATTTTCAAAAAAACATAATAAAAATTAACAAAAAATAATCCCAACTTTCTTTTTGTGGCGCAAAATAGGCATTTTCGTTAACCAGCCGTTAGAAACTTAACGACGACCCAAAACTCAGAAATCTGAATTATTATGCATCACACTTGAATTGTTTTTAAAAGACCAAGTAAAATTGGGATTATTTTGGATAAGTTTTCCATCTTTTTAGTCATTTGTCATTTCTAGTAATCTTTTTTATCCGCAAATGATATCGTACAGCCGGCTATACGGGAAGAACCGTACAGCCAATAAAAATTAGCGATCAAGTGGAGCGCGATCGAGTCAAACCCTATGTGCGGTTGATCAGAAAAAGAAGGCAGTACAGAGCAGCAGGGGAGCAGATATGCGGGGAAGGGTTCATGGGGAAGTGAGAAATTTTTAGTCCTAAATAATTCAGCATTTAGGTGAGGGAGAAGAAGGGTTGGAGATTGATTTTAAACTAAGTTAAATGTATGAACGGTACTTTAGTTGAGAATTGACATTATTTTATTTGACAATAAGTACCACTTTGTTTTAGAATAAATCCTATGTTATTTGATAATTGTATGAAATAATTGTGTGAGATTAAATAACACTTTACCTTAAAATGGACCCGGATTTTTTATCCATTTATTGTAATTTCTAGTCCCTTTTTTGTTTTTTTTTAAATAAAGAGATCGTTAACCCTAAGAGTCCGGGAACAAAGCAAAGATGGGTGCGAACGAAGGGGGTGGTGGGTTCGCGGACGGCGTGGTAGATCCGAGCGAACAGTTCCATCGGAACGAGGCGATATCTGCTGTAGCGGACGATGGATTTCTTGGTGAAGAGGATGATGACTATGAGGACCTTTATAATGATGTTAATGTCGGCGAGAATTTTCTCCAGTCTCTTGGAAAGAGCGAGGAAATAGGGTTTAAAAATGAAGAGGTTGTTGAAAAGTTGCCGCCGAATGCTACTCATGTGCAGACGCTCAGTGCTGCCGAAGGTGATCAGAAGGCAGAGAAAGAGCAAGAAGGTGGGGCTATGGAATCGGACAAGTTTCAAGGTTATCCTACTATGGGGTCTAGGGCGAGCGAAATGGGAGCTAAGAGTTCAACTCTTCCTTCAAGTGGATCAGGGACCCTGGCTAGTGAGCAAAGGGTTGAGTTAGGTCATTCGTCTGGTATAGTAGCTGATAAAGGGGAACATGCTTCAATTGGTGATGCACAACATCAATGCATAGCTCTGCCGCCTCATGCTGCCCCTGTTGAAAACTTTGTTAATGTAGTAAGCGCAGGAAATCATAACATGGACAGACAAGTTGGAAATATGATTGGCAACATTGGCAATGAGGGAGTGTTTGGGGTTGGTGGTGGAGGTGGATCTGTTGGGGGAACTCTTCTTTTTGTTGGCGATTTGCACTGGTGGACAACTGATGCTGAGCTAGAGGCGGAGTTGAGAAAATATGGGCCAATGAAGGAAGTGAAATACTTTGATGAGAAGGCTAGTGGGAAGTCGAAAGGGTACTGTCAGGTTGAATTTTTTGATCCTGCAGTTGCTACAGCATGCAAAGAGGGGATGAATGGGCATATCTTCAATGGTAGACCGTGTGTTGTAGCCTATGCATCTCCGTACACTGTGAGGAAAATGGGTGAATCTCAAATAAACAGAAACCAGCAGACAGCTCAGACTTCTGTATCTCAAGCAAGGAGAGGCCCTGGAGATGTCATGGTTAAACCTGGTGGTAACAATATTGTCCCAGGTGGTAACCATCAAGGTACTGCAGATACCAATAGAGTTTATGGACGAGGAAATTGGGGTGGTAGGGGAGTTATTCACGGGATGGGGAATAGGGCTCCTCTTGGTTCTATGAGAAACAGGCCTGGGGGCATGGGGGGACGTAGTTCAATGGTAAATGGTGGTGGTGCATTTGGACAAGGTATTGGTGGCACACCATCATTGTTGCACCCTCATACAATGATTGGTCCGGGGTTTGATCCTGCATTTGGAGGATCAATGGGTCGAATGGGAAGCTTTGGGGGATTTGCTGGTCCACCAACTCCTTATTCAGGAATCATGCCTTCGTTCCCACCTTTAGCAAATGTTGGATTGCCTGGTATTGCCCCCCATGTCAACCCAGCATTCTTTGGCAGAGGGATGCCTATGAATGGTATGGGAATGATGCCTGGCACTAGTGAGGGGCCTCCAAATATGGGAATGTGGTCTGATATGAATATGGGAGGATGGGCTGGTGAAGTGCACGGAAGTAGAGCTGCTGGTGAGTCAAGTTATAATGAAGAAGCTGTATCTGACCCTCAACCTGGAGAAGCAAGTCATGAACATGATAGAGGCACATGGCATGCTGGGTTAAAAGAAAAGGACAGAGGTGGAGAGTGGGACTGGTCTGGTGCCTCAGACAGAAGATATAGGGATGAAAAAGAACCCGGATTTGACAGGGAGATGCCTCTAGAAAAGGATATTGCTCATGATCATGATTGGTCGCCAGAGAGGAAGCATAGAGATAGCAGAGAACATGGAAGAGTGAGAGAGCCTGAACGATCTAAAGAGAGAGGCCGTGGTCGTGATGGGGACAGGGATCGTGGACATGATCGTGAGCGTGACAATCGTAGGGATGCTGTCCATTATCGGCACAGGGACCCTGAACTTGAATACAATGATGATTGGGACAGGGGAAGATCATCAAGAACTCATGCAAAGTCAAGATTGTCACATGAGGAAGAGCAACGTTCAAGATCCAGGGACACTGAATATGGGAAAAGGCGGCGTATGGCTTCTGAGTAATCTATTTGAGGGCATTCGTCAAAAAAAAAAAGAAGAGGAAATATGTATTGCATGAAACAATTTTTGCATATATATTTTGGCCTTCATCTTAACTCATGGATACATTGCTACATCCAATCGCCATTATCTTTGGTAATCGTTAATGCTTGAGTGATGGGATCTTTTCCACTTTCATGGTGTATTCTCTTACCAATTCAAGTAAGTTCCCTGCATCCATACTTGTTTTGTACTAATGTTAGCATCTTTTGATCTCCATTTGTAGTCATGTGTCCCGATGTCCTATTAAATATTGAGTAACTATTATTGTTTTCACTACATGTTTTTGATTCTCAACTCCGAATTTTTTAATTACCTGCTGCACAAGATTCATTTTTGAGGAACTAATTAAGATCCTGGAGTGAAGAATCTGAATCAGTAGGTTACATTCTTTTTACTGAAAAAGAAGGAAAATAAAATTTAGATACAACTCCAAACAAGAAAACATTATACCACAGCTCAATTCTATATGCATTAAAATTGAATTTATGGTTTCTTCTGAAGTCGTATTGGTGACTTAGCTACTCCGTATCTCTTAAATGTGAATCATTAGGTTACATTCTTTACTAACATGATATTTTTTCACATATAACTCTGGTTTCATCTTATTTAAAATTACATTCTTTTAGTTGTATTATGACTTTGTATGTGCATTTATTAGTACTTGATATCCCTCCTCCCCAAAGAAAGGGAGAGAGAGTCCTCTTTGAAGGAAGTTGTATTGTCACTCTAATGGTTTCCCTTTTCAATTTGAGCATTTTCAATAAAAAACAGCCTTTCATGGTGGATTATGTGTTTGCTTTAGCAACAATTTTAGTGTTTTGAAAGGGCTATCTAATGGTAGTGTTTAGTTTTAGTGTTTTAAAAGTTAATTTGCACACTAAATTTAGTGTATTGTAACTCTAAAGGTTGCCCTTTTCAATTGTAGCATTTTCAAAAAAAAGAGTCTTTCCTAGTGGATTATGGGGCTGTTTTGGCAATTTTGAAAAAGCTATCTAATGGTAGCATTTTGAGTTAGTGTTTTTATCGTTTTGCACCATTAAAAAATTATCCTAAACGCTAACTAGAAATGTTGTTCCCAAACAGGGTGTGTTTTTGAATTTTGACCCTGATTTTACTTCACTTTTGTGTTTAGTTCAGGTGGTTTCCTGAACATGAAGGACCTCGTTTTCTCGTTCAAATAGTTCAGCAGTAGTTTAATGCATCATCAATATGGGGTTAACTAGAGCACGGCTTGTCATTGACCTGAGGCAAGAATGATATGCTAGTTGGACATCATTGTTGGCCTGAGTAGCATTAATGTTTTAGCTAATTGTAAGTTGGACACACCATTATTGGTATCTTGATGATGTTTTATGACTTTAAACTGCTGAAATATGATTGTGACTTAAGTTCTGTAATCTACGAATGCGATGTATTAGGATAGGATCTAACACAGGCTGGTGCTAATATTTCCCTTATCGAATTTTTTTCTTGGTCACGTGTAATTTTAACCCAGATTATTATATGGGCACACAATGTGATCAATGATCGATCAATGCTTGGGTTATCTGTGACTGGAAACTCGCAGAAGTCTGAGGGGATTGATTTAGTTTAATGTCATGTTAACTTGTATCACACTTGTATTGAATGATGAATGATCATGGGAACTACAATAACAAAGGCTAAGTTCTTTCTATATCGAATTGTTAACTTTTAGTTCCTTCCATTTAACTTCTTTTAGTTTTTTGAATCTTTCCAGTTTAGTCTCTTTTCAATTTGTTCTCATCTTTCACACTATGTTTGGTTCAATGAATTTGAGAGGGAAAAGAAAAGAAAATGAGAGAAAATATTTTTCTTGTTTGGTTAGAGAGGAAAAGAAAAGTGGAAGGAAAAGAAAAAAAGAAGGCAAAATGTATTAAGAGGAAGGAAAACTAAATTCTTCCCATTTTGGTGAGAAAAATGAGGAAAAATTATTTTCTTTTCCTACCAAATTCCTTGAACCAATCATAGTGTCAATTTTTTACACTAAATTGAAAATTATTTGTCTGTGCTAAGAAATAAAAGAAGAATGCTCAAAGAGATTTTGGTAGGGAGATGATATTTCTAATTTGTTCTTTCTAGTATTTTTGAATCTACATTGAGTCTCTATTTTATACTAGTTCTTAAGTTTTTTTTATCTATTTTGATTTTTTTGGTCAAACAATACCATTATTTGACTGCAAAATAAATACTCCGTATAATCTAAATAAATAAATAATATAAAAAATTGATATACCAAAAATATATCTTAAGATGAACCTAATTATATTAAATTTATATTATAATTAAATATATTTTTCTCACAATTTATGGTTAAAGTGTGTTACTGTTTGATCAAAACAAGTCAAAACAAAAAAAAAGTTTAAGACCAGTGGGAGTAACAAAGAAGCTTTAGGGGGTGTTTGTTTTTTGGCCAGGCCTCTTTTGTCTGCGCCGCGCAGACGCGCGCAGATGCTGAGCTCTGCAGATTGTTTGTTTTTTGGAAGACACTTCACTCAAAAAGGTCTTTCTGGCATCTTCTTGGAGAAGACATTAACCTATGTCTTCTAACATTTTCTAACATCTTCTCCATTTTCTTTCTTCTACTTCTTTTCACCACCATCACCGTCCACCACCATCACCACCGTGCACCATCACCGCCACCGTCGTCCACCACCACCGCCACCGTCCACCGCTACCATCGTCCACCATCACCGTCACCGTCCATCACCACCGTCGTCCACCACCGCC